AGTAAGCCTGGGAAACGCCAAGATCTACACACAGGCCAGGGGTGGAAGGTAAATATGCGTTCACCGTCCACGGTTGAACGTCGACAGTCCAGCACGCTGGGCGGGCGTTCGGACATAAACACCAGGATGCAATTATCAGGACACTTCGTATTGCGTTATGTGCACCGTGCGCGATGTCGGAACATGTGCAACACATGGCATTCCGTCAGAATCAGTGGCGCGTTCCTCTGAAACTCACTGACATCAGTCTTACAGTACCTCTAACCGGCACAAGGCTAGACTGCATAAAGACGGGCAGCAGGAGGATCCACGAGCTCACCCCACCGCCGTTATAAATTGGGAAAAAAACGACTTTGGGTAGTCCGCGCAATCGTGGCTGACAGAGTGTGCGCTGAGCCCTAAACCAACCGAAGGCGGGTTGACATCCTAAGTGAACTAAAACCATGTCTGGGAGTGTTTTTATCTCACGCTGTAGCCGACCGACAGTTGGACCATCATGCCTACCGTGTGCTCCACAGCAGGCTAAGAGCAAGGATGGAGACTTGCGCATGAGTTAGGTTAGAGTAGTAGCGGACTTGTGCAGCACCTGTCGCACTCTCTCCTCCTTCACACCTGGGCCAGGTTAGAGTCAAGAGGATTGTAGGTGGAAGAGCGCGCTTGTGGCTGGCGCGGCGAAAACGCGCACCCAGCCGTACCACCGTACCCTCTGATCCATACAGTAACATCGAGCAGGATTTGGTAAAAGGAAGGAGGCGGCTCGGACCCCGGCCGGCGCGGCGCGGACCTGCATCTGGGCGTGCCGCCACACCCCCAGCGTTGGCATTTGTTATGGGTGCGCATTCCCAATAACGCTTGCCGGACCCCGATCTAGCCCCCGTGTTGGTCCAGAGCATCTACCGCGTGGTCCGTTCAAGGGACACAAAGGTCGACCGCTTCGCGTCAACCGTGACACCTTAAACATCATGCCCGCCAAATTGCGCGCAGTAGACATGCAAGCAATACGGCCCAGTCCGCACTGGCCGTTGACATTTACAGCCAGCGACCGACCTAATGAGAAATTAAGCGAAATTAACTGAAATGCGTTCTCCAGTAGGAAGGATTACTTTGGTGGGGTTCAATTGTTGATTATCGCGCGGCGTAATCCCGCCATATTTCGGGTGTAAAAAGATTTTACCTTCTGAATGCACTTCTTTTTGGCCACCTGCGAAAATAAACTCGGTAAAAAATGGCTACTTAAGTAGCATGATTTTTCTATTGTGTCTCGATGTCGTTATAAATTCAAACGCACTTCACAGAAAACGCGTGGAAAATATTTTTTCTTGTACCCATTTGTTAGCACAGTACGCTCTCGTCTAGTTTTATACATGAGAAAGGGTGTCTTCCATTTTTTTTAAAAAAAGTCCTTTAATTCACGAATAATTTATTTCAACCGTAATAAGCGAAACTAGGCGACCATGGTGGGATTCTAACCCACGACGGAAAGAGGGAGGCTTAACTCCATCCAACGTTCTGGCCATCTGAGGTACGAGGCCCCACCGACAGTCATGAATTTAGTCACATCTGGGTTACGTTACCCACCCGGCCTACTGCAAAGTATGGAATGTACCAAATCCACCACTACGGTCGCCGAGTTTTTCACTGGTGGGTCAAAATAAATTACTCAGAAATCTGTCAAAACACTTATTAATTCCCAAACCGTTTTGAGCCCGACCTGCCGTTGTATTTGCGTTCAGGCTTTTCAGTCTAAATGTTGTATAAGCTCCGTGTAGGGAAAATCACATATTCCTCTATGCCATTCAGAAGATACCGTATAGGGAGCACAAAATGCTGCAATGTATTTGGACTATGTTGGATAATTCACGAGAAGCATTAATAAACGGACCGATATGATGCTAATTGAATGGACATTGAACGGTTTTAAAAAGTTCCCTAACTGGAAATTTTTCAAAAATCCTACGATGCCTTTTCTTCAAGTATAAAGTTCGAAGAAGGCGCAATTTGCTACCGACACAAGAAAGGGATATTATTGTGCATGTTTTTAACAAGATGTATTCGAATTTATAAAGGATTTACTACTTACTACCTAATTACTACTACTTAATTAATTCAAAAGCCAGCATCCTGGCGTGTCTGAAATATCATAGACTTATGCTGCAGGTTAATCATTAATTCAACCCTCCTATTCGGGAACGCCATTCAGAATCTCGGTTGACATTTCGCGATATCGGTCCATGAGTGTACTTTTTGGATGCGTTAATCACGGACTGTGCGGCAAAAAAATGTTCACAGTGCCTACATTTTCCGTTTTGCCCTCGGCCACAGGAGGAGAGGAGTCATTGGTTTTCGGTGGGCCAACATTGGCGGAAGGCTCGGCGGACTGGCAATTAGTCGTCGTCGTCGTCGTTCCCGAGGATTTCTCGCCATTAACTGGCCTGACAGCAGCGGAAGCCTCGGTTGGGGCCGATCCATTTTGTGACGCAGGCTTGCGATTCAGCAGTTCCGGATCTAGAGCCGAGGAAGTGGGATCAGGTTGCGGCGTTCCGTAGTAGTTGCCTAAAAAGACAAAGCTTTGGTGTCATGTTTGCCAGGGTCAAAGGCTACGACTACGGGAGTGTGACATGGTCTGAGAAATTTGTACTGCCAATAGGTCTCCAACCTATGTCGTATGATGCAGGAAGATAATGTTGCCGCTGAATGGAAAAAGGCCAATGGCACTTTTTTTCAGGAGGTGCGAATGAAGGGCAATTTCCAATGTGGATAAACAACAACAAAAACAACAACAAAATGAGATGAGAAGATTGTCTAAATATTTGGGAGATCAAATTAGAGCATTCAGTAAGTATCCATAGTCCTAAATGCGTTGAAAGCGGAATCGTCGCTGTAAAGGCGGTCCCACTGAATGTTAGTAAGCAAGGTCTCAAGCTGTCAGAAGCAAAGGCACAAAAGTATGGAGCAAGGGTCGGCTGAAACTCACCCTTATAAGTGCCACTCTCGAGCAAACGACCGGCCTTTTCGAGAGCCAGGAATTGCTCAACACCCATAAACTGATAGTGGACACCGTTCACCTCGTCATGTCTGGGAGCACGCGTGGTGCCTAAAGGGTACAACGAAGTAAATGAAGTTCAAAGGCGAGTGTGTGTTTCACACAAAGAACACAAACTTCCGCCTGTGATAGGGAGGTTGTGACAACCGCGTGTGTGTGTGCAAAGTTTGTGTGTAATGGAGACCGGAAAAAATCAGAAAGCACTCACAGGGTACAACACGCTGGTATATGTTATCCCGAGTAACCTCCTGAAGAAGATATTCGGGCGACCCAACTGTGAATGTGGCTGACAAGAAGGGACCCAAACGACTGTCGCTGTTTGGCAACGAAGACAGAGGTATAAGTTTCATCAGTACGCGCGGTCTGTTTGTAAGCTCTTCACAGTAGGATAGCGCCTCACACACCTTAAGCGCGTCGAGCTTAGTGTAGCCGGAGACTTGGTAGTCGCCGATTTCAAGAATGACATCACCGGGTCTGAGGATAGAAGCAGTCTTCTTCGGACCGGACAAAATGGGATGATAGACAAGGCGGGAGGGATTGACTTCGGGCCCAACCACACAAAATTTTCCACAATCAGATCCACCCTCGATGGGTATACTGAGGAATTTGTCGGGAGGTGCGGCAGACAGGAGCACCTCGTAAACACTGGACTCCCAAGACTTGCAGGTGCCTAAGAGGAGACGAGTAGGAACAGTCTGCCTTTCCTCAGTAAACATAGCATGCTGCGTTGTGGGGGTATGTAGTGCAGTTCTGGGCATGGCAGTTTTTGGTTCGTTCCTAAGAAAAAGAACTGTTCATTAGCATGTATATAGTTTACGGGCTAGTTGAAGTAATAAGTCATAAAGGTACTCGATTGCATAAGACGTAAACAGCGGCACTAGGATGTTGTTGAATGGCAGCTATGTGACCGCCTGGGAGGGTTCCAGTTTGTGTTCTGGATTACGTTGGGACGAGTATATTCTGCGACGTAATGAGACTAGCAGGTGAATTTCATACGTAAAATTTGTCTTAGTTTGTTGGTAATTTGCGTTTAAGTGACGAATTTGCAAGCTGACTGGCGTGAATTGATTATAACCGAAAGTCCTCACTTACTTTGAATAATGGGCAAAACACAATTATCAAAATGACTTAGTACATCCGGGCACATAATTCAAGGTCCTGGATACCTGCAAACTGTTTCTGAACTATATTTTGGAGTGCCAGTTGGAAAAGCATTTGACTTCAGGAGGGGAAAGAACATGATCTTTTCTTTTAATATGTATTTCGACTGATTCGGATATTGGGTCAAAACATCTTGGTTGGAACGAACGACCGTTTCGATTGTAAGAAATGCTTAAAAACCTAAGACATATATATGCGCTCAGTGGCACGGCGTCAACAAGGTATAAAAGCGTCATTCAGTGAACGAGACACTGTAAGGATCTAGTCAAAACTACAGTGCAGTATACATAGACGTATTACATTTTCACAAAAAAACATCATAAGTTATTTTTGCGTGGGTCACCGAGCACTCTGTGGGGCCATGTTTCGGGTTTATTGTGTCTTCATTTAGTCAATCACCATCACAACCACAAACTGGGGCCAAAAACACGTACATGCGCAAGTGGTCTACAAGGGGATCTACCAGATGGGTCATAAACACTTCATATGACGTCCTCTGTTGTTGCAAATGGGATATTTATTCATACAGGAATAAGTGCACACTGAGTCATTGACTTTGGGAAGCAAACAAGTCCCGAATGGGCGGTAGAGGTCACGATAAAGCCGCACTCGGCCAAGACATGATAGTAATGGGGACGTGGACAGAGATGCGAACGGACTGATAGGGGGCTGTCTCGGGCTTATTTTGCTATTTAGACCCAGGCCAACGCAGGTTCATGTGTCACCCATCTGGGTCTAAAGGTCTGTAAGCGTCTACCATGTCAGGATCAACAAACTATGGCCCTCACAGTCTGGTATGCGCTGGCAGTTCCCTGACACCTGTGTTTCTGCAGAAACACACTGCAGCGAGCCGGACGACAGAAGGTCAGAACTACGCTACCTCCAGCGCCTCTTCATGGCCAACGGGTATCCTCGCAACTTCATCGAACGCGGTCGACAGGCCGGACCGAGCCGACGTTTGGTGACAGAACGACCAACAATATGGCGGGCGCTTCCATACATCGACGGCGTTTCTGAGGCCGTCTCGCGTCTCTTAAGACCGCTGGGGATCGGCATCGCCCACCGACCGGAGTCAACAATTCGACATCTGGTCATGAGACCTAAGGCCCCTCTGCCACTAGGCGAAACCACGAACGTCATCTACCGGATCCGGTGTAACTCTTGCGAAGTCAACTACATTGGGGAAACCGGCAAACGGCTACAGACCCGTGTTGGAGAACACATGAGGGCAGTACGGCGAATGGACCCTTTGTCTCTGGTGGCCGAACACTGCGCCGATGCCGGACACACGTTCGCCTTTCAGCATGCCGAAATTCTGGGCCGGGGAAACGATCGCATAGCCAGGGAAACAATCGAGGCTTGGCACACGGGGACAACCTCCATCAACCGCTGTGTGACTCTTCCCGCTGCCTATCAAGCCCTTCGAGCGCAGCTCAGTAAACAAATGAGCAGACGTGCACCCAGGCTAAACATGAATCCAGACATGAGCGAGCCCATGGCGGATACACACCCAGCCACCCCTCAACCGGGTTCCGACGAAGGCGCAGTCCTCACCACAGCCGGTCCATCTACTAGTCCGGCGGACGAGAAAACGGACAGTCGCTGCGGCGTAAACAAGATTGCCAGGCTTGGACGACAGCTACGGTCAATGAAGGTACGAACGACGACCACCAACGTCTCAACGCCGGCTTCCGATGTAGATTGAGTACATTCCGTCACCCTCCCTCCCTCCCCCCCGCCCACCACAGTTCACGTGTGCATGCGGCTGATGACCACTAATTCTGATCCACCACCCCCTCATCCGGCGAAAAGACGCTCTAGGACTCCCCTCCCCGCCCCATCCCCCCTGCCGCCCTGACTTCGTATGTAAGAAAACCCGTTTTGACATGACTGTTACCCACCCATAAATACTGTGAGGCGCGATACCACACTCGCCTCCGACGATGGAAGCTTGTATGCTTTTGAAACGTCAGGACAGTAAAACTATGGTTCCCGAGATCGCCTTTTCTTCTCAATATATATATATATATATATATATATATATATGAAAATGAATACGTTCTTTAGGAAAAGGAGAAAACTTTATTGAGCAAATTTTCGACGTCAGTCCCCCGTGTCGTCGTCAGACTCTAGTAAATACGTAGACAACAATTAAAATTTCAAACGTGCTACAAAATCAATACTCATTTGGTGCTTCAGCCAGTAAGTGGCCGTCAGTCCGTATAGACCGGCTTTCGTTTCTTCCACTTTTCCCTGAGATTTTTGCACGTGGCATCTAACTCGATATGCCTGTTGATGCATTACTCATCGGAGTGCATGGCTTCAAGGGACTCTCGGCCTTTTTAGATGGGCAAACGCGGACGATGCGAGTTTTGTCCCATGCGAAAGTGTGCCCAGTATCAAGTGTGTGCATGACCATTTGAGACAAGTGGTCTTGCCTCTTAACTGTCTGTTGATGTTCGTGGATGCGTGTGGAGGCAAATTTTCCCGTTTGGCCACAATATACGGCATCAATAGAATCGCATGGGATCTTATAGATGACTTCTTTTTTATCGAGATAGCCAACCCTATCCTTAGGGCGTACAAGCTAAGTGCGTAAAGTAGTCGTCGTCTTGGGCGCCACTTTTATCTGGTGTTTCCTCGAGTGTCTTTCAACAAGTTTTAAGGCAAAAAGATCCCAACAGAGCATTAACAATAAAGAGAAAACGATCAACTAGCAAGCGAAAAACAGCCAGCGTGCGAATTCTGAGACAAGCAAGTACGATAGACCTGCATGAACACTCGGACACTACAAAATGAAAACCCGTTTCTCCAGTGGCAACAAGTTTGTTAATTTTGTGGAGCTGAGCTGTTGCATCGCTATAAACACGTGCTTTCGATACTTCAGAAGCCACATAGTCCACTCGTACCCGAATAAAATCGACTACATAGTCGCCCGAACATGTCGGACCAAATTAGTGCTAGACTCACCACTAGTGCATGGTGCAGATACTAGCAGCGAAACCGTCTCTGGATATTTTAGTTAAGGACTAATCTACATTTCAGGCTCCACAGCGGAAAATCAGGGCCAAATAGGAAGCATGCTATGAAACGTAACGAGGACCTTATAACTTCGATGGGCTTACGTCTGGCTGTCTTCAATCGCATAGCTGCCTCTAACTCCAATGCCAGCAGGAGGCATTCTCGACCTTTGGTGGAGATCCACGTTCAAGACAACCCGCAGGTCAGGCTCCGAATACAAACTGGTGGCACAGTTACCAAACACTTCGACCTTACTCACGTCTGTAGAGTAGAAGCGATTGTCGCATCCAAAAGGCCGGACAGCTTCGAATTTGCTCTAATGTTTAGATCTCTGAACTTTGGGCGTTAGACATCATGGTGGGGTAACAGGCGATTCACGGGCCACTAAAACAAGTAATGCGCAAGTTTAAGGGCGCGATTTAATTCTTCTCGACACTGAGCAGTAACTGAGTAACGGGAGTAACCAACAGTCAATCGCCTCTAGACTTTATCCATCCAAAATGAGGAGGATATCTTCATCTACCATAAGGATTGAGCAGTGCTTTAGCTTTCCTAGCGGTGAAGTCTAAGCCGGTTTTTTGGGAGGCGACGACCGGCGTATTCAAAATCCGATGAAGGGCTTTGCTCCACCTATCGACTTCATAGCCGAAAGGCCTATGCAAAGGCAGCGGGAACGGATATGAAAATAAACTTCTTCCGGACGACGGTAGCACCGGGTTTTGCGATCAGGAGATCTGGCCGATTACGGTAGACGATGCGGCTTTTAGGTTAGTAGGCGGCAGCTTGCCAGGATCAAACTTGCTACCAAATATGTAAGATGAGGGCGAAATCGATCACTGGATCACCAGCTGGCCGGCGAAATGCACCTAGCGGCCCCTCTGCCTGATTGGGGTATGCTGTAATCACCCAGTCAATCAGATCATTAATCACGCACAAGCTCGCAGATCTGAGCTCCTTGTACAGAGCTAGTGAGAGGCTAGTACAATACTATCATTGTTAAACAGAGATTTCTGTAACAGACAGAAAGGCACGGAGGAGAAATATTCCTATGCCCGCCAGTTAAACTTTAAAACGCAACAAGAGAACGTATAACTCGTCTAGAACACAGAAGAAGTAACGTATATGATATTCTATGCATAAATAGAGTTCGTCACCGTTGAAAAAGTCCTCTGCATGCATCAAATCATGTACAAGCCTGAGACCTCGATTTTCTCTTTTCCGCGGATATTTCAGCCTAGTAAAATCCGGGTAGTGTTGTCACGCTAAATTTCGGTTTTTTGTGTTCTTCTTGCAATTCAGGTGCCAGTTTTTTTCTTTTTCTTTTCCCTTTTTGTCATAGGTCGTTGGGATTTGTTTTTAATTATTTTTGGCCGAACACTTTAAAGCGATTTTCGCTCTATGGAGACTACAATAAAATTGCCAGTATTATCTCTGGGTATCCAAATACCCAGATGCATTTTCTGAATTGTGAGTAGCTTCAGCTAAAATGCTGCTTTGTCAGACACAAATATGTTCACGTATGCATGCCTGGTGGTTTACATTCGGACACAGAAACCCCACATACCACTTATACAACTCTACATCAAAAATCGTGAAAGCAGACAGGAAATATATAGTTTACTTGAGGTGGTTTTTTCATTTGAATACTCAAAAGCATGTAGGTTTGAGGGGATACGTTTATAGGCAAGTGCGTGGAGGCTTGATACAGACTTTCTGTGTCGTTCGTGGTTTGGACTTCGCCCTCCGGCGTGGGGACTTTTTCCAAATTGTCACTGCAACAGACCTCTGGGAGCGTCCCACAAACTATGCGCGCCTCAAGGAAAAGTGGATATAGAAAAGTAAGTTTTTACAAACCGTGTAATAACCTGTCTAAGACGCTTGTAATACCTTAGTCTGTGGAGACGCTCAAAGACCGACCTGACATGCTGCAGCATCAAGAGGACTAGGTGGCAAAGTAACCTTTGATAAAAAAGCTCTCATATGAAACTAAGTCTGCTTCTTCTTGTCACAGCAGCCTCTTTTTGCTGTTGCTCATTCTTCTAATTTTACTGTGACAAATAAGGAATTTGATGGAATAGGCACATTTTCTTCAAACACACTAATCCGAACTGAACTAAACGTGGGAGAATAATCCACGCGCGTTTGCACGACTACGATACAAGTTTTTGACTTGATAGTATTCCATTTATTCCTTTGTTTACCGATGACTGTGAAAGGGTTTTTGGAACGCACAACTGGAGACGGAATTGTGTCGTCGAGAACGGCATTTGCTATAGACTGCTCCACTCAATACGTTTTACCAAATTTGTCTCGGCCGACTTCTGCATGCTGGTTACGGTATGCCTATTACATCCATATGAGAAATTTCAGATTATTGAGGGAAATACACGTGAGCATTTGAGTACCCTATTTGCATCGCAAACTTGAACTCGGCATGCGGAAAAATAGCTCAATAGGCTCATATTATCATGGCAAGTTGGACGTGAGACTGAAAAGATATAATCCAATTTCTCATTACTACTTCTCATTTCGGAATACGACCTCTCAAGGTTCAAGGCACTACCAATTTGTCTGCTAAACGCGGAATTTGTTGCGGTCGAGGATGTGAGACCGACTTAAACCACGCACAATAAGTTCGTTTCGTCTACTGTCAGAAGTCAGGGAGCTGTGAGGACTAGTTTATTCTGTACACAGGGCAGGTTACCATAAGTTGACGATTTGCTTGCAACAGAGAAAAGCGTCCGTCCACAGAGAGCGTCAGTCACGGTGTGTCTTGTTAAGGCGAGTGTGTGTGTCTAAGTTAGCAGGAGGGGTGACTGTCTGCGTGGTGGTCGTGTGATTGGACTAATTATGGGACGAATGGATGGCGCATACTCAAGGCCTCACGGGAATCAAGCCAAAGCGTTTGACGCGCGTTAGGCGATACTAGTTCTTGAGTGCAGCCGGGGTTCATTGCAGCTGGACCGGAGGTGTCCCAGTTCTAGCCGGGGGGGCTGGTCGTGTGTCAGCGGCCTGTCAGTGCTTATCGCGGTCATCGACCGACAAAACGGAGCCGGAGAAAAGGGGAACTGGAGCGGCTGCTACAACCCCCCCCCCCCCCAGACACCAAACGAAGTGAAGGCGTCGACATGCTAGCCAGCCACAAACCTGTCGGGCCAGTGGACGTGACGGCCAGATCGTGTGCGGCGAACCGGAGGGGGACTGTTGCCAGTAGGTGGAGGCACCACTGTTTGCGGCGGGGTACAGTGTTGGGGTGAGGAAAGGTCACTGTCGTCGATGTAGGCCGGCTTGACGCGATCAATGGCGACTGTGTCGGTCTTGCCGTTGCGGTCGATGACAACATCTTTGTCAGATCGACGAAGGACTTTATACGGCCCGTCATAGTGTGGTTGGAGTGGTCGTCGAACAGCGTCATGCCGAACCAAGACGAAATCGCACTTATCCAGGTCGGAAGGGATGAAGGAATTGGCCGGTGACGCCCGAGGGGGCGTTGCGCGGAGTTTGCGCATGACACTACGCAGCTGCTCCACATAACTGCAAGGTTCGAAAAACGTTAGCATGTTTGAGGGAGACGCTAACTCACCGGGCAGTAGTAGGGAGGTTCCGTAGACAAGATCAGCTGCAGTGCAACCGATGTTGGCCTTGAGAGTGGAACGGAGGGACAACAGCACCTGGGGAAGGTGA